CTCATAATTTTGCTTTGAATGGGACCGCTCAGCACGCGTCAACTCCTACTAGGAGACCTAATTCAAGGTCCTCCACGCAGTCATCAAACGTAACGTCCCTGACTCAAAGAGCACGGACGAAACGCTTCTTCCCGCTCTGGAGATGACGCCATGCCACATCATCGCGGCTGCGCTCCGTCGCATTTTCGCTGATAACGAAGAAATACATACTACAGAAATGATTCTGTGAAGTATGATCTCGACTGTCCAATTCCAAACTCTGATCTTCATTCATTTCTACTGCAAACAGCAAGTGGCTTATTGCGAAAACTTTTCAAAGCACTTCTCCTCCTCATCAACCACACTGTTTCTCACAATCTCTGCATTCTGTCCACAGTCTCTTCCTCACCACAATTCTCTAGCAACGAATCCGTTAACCTCACCAATCGATTCCCATTGCTCTCCGAATTTTTCCATTAGTATTCACTTCTTCAGTAATCATTTTCCGCTACATTTAGTATTAAATATTTAATTACTTGAATGTTTGAAATAATATCAAGTATTTAACCTGGACAAGCAGTATTTAATTTGAATATTTGAAGCAGTTGCTTTCACTTGCTTTCCCAGAGTGACGTTACTAACAAATCCGCTAAGCCTATCCCGACCAACACCACCATTCATATAGGGTATCTATATCCGGACAATCAATTTTCTGCATGAGGCCTAAATTTTCATTTTTAATAAAAATATTTTGAAATACAATAACATAACAAAAACCATCAAAAACATGATAAAAAATATTCGAAAATTGATTCTTTAAGTATGCGATTTATGTTAATCCGATAAATTTTGTTATTCATCAACAGTAAAATAACAATAAAAGGCCTATCCATTTAAGAACAGATGTGAGACGGCACAATATCAAATTTTGTTAGGATAGTAAACAGCAAAAAGCCTATCCATTGTATGATTGTTGTTCGTTTGATATTGTGATCGAATTTATGCAAACTTGATAATATGAAATTTTGTATTTTTATCGAATAAACATTATGACTTATTCATTCTGTACATCATAGATTTGCCGAAGAGTATTCCAATTTTGCGTAATTAATGCTTCCATGTCTTGTGTTTGCACCACATCGGTAAGTGAATCGATTCCCTTGTTCGAAATTTTATAAAATACTTTATCGTTTATTACCTAAAAAAATTTTTTTTCTGATAAAGTAAAAGTCAGAAAAATTGTTACTGAAAATTAAAAAAGATACTTATTTCAAATTCAATATTTCGCTATTTTTATAAAAAAGTTTGTTGAAAAAAAAAATGGAATGAATTAATTGATAAATGCATTTCAATGACAAACTTAATTACTTAATTTACTCTCATTTTCACTACAAACATCAATCTATCTCTTCCTAATCTCATCTGTGCTATGTATTTCACGGTTTTTAATAATTTTTCGATAAAATAGAATGTGAAAGAACATATGGAAACGATAATCCTACTAATTTATTGAGCAAAATTTACTATCAAATTTCTGATAAATATGGAGAAAATCATGATAATGATACAAACAGTGATAGTCATTGGAAAATAGCGAAATTAAGGAATCATTGGAAGGTTATTAAATCACAATGGCTTGAATTCCAAAAAATTGGATATAATTAACCAATTGAGAGGAACAGATAACTGCCCAATTCGAAACAATTAACAGTAATTTTAAACTCTAATTTCGATGTAGAAGATATCATTCATACAAATTTTGTAAGAAATAAGGGATTTAACTTAGAATGTATTAAAATAATGCTAGAAAATATCAAAAATGGAGTGAAAAATGATAATACAAATTAATAGAATAAAATTAAAGTAAGAACTGCCAATACCCTGTAAACACAAAATAGATAAACTATGAGTTTTAAAGA